GGGGCGGGCCCCAGCCATTTAAATTTAAATGAAGCCGCGATTATTTTAATCGCGGCTTCATTTCCCTTTTCCGATCTGGCTAATCTACATGCCTCCGTCGAAGGAGGCATGTAGTCTAGACACACCCTTAGTGTGCAGCGGCAGTCAAAAAAGCAAATAGAATGTGAGGAGTCATTAAAGGGATAGAGAATAAGACAGAAAATATCTTATTGCCTCTGTATAAAACCATGGTATGCCCACATATTGAATACTGTGTACAGATGTGGTCCCCTCATCTCAAAAAAGATATATCAGCATTGGAAAAGGTTCAGAAAAGGGCAACAAAAATTATTAGGGGTATAGAATGGGTCCCATATGAGGAGAGATTAAAAAGACTTGGACTTTTCAGCTTAGAAAAGAGGAGAATAAGGGGGGATATAACAGAGGTCTATAAAATCATGACTGGTATGGAAAAAGTGAATAAGGAAAAGTTATTTACTTATTTCCACAATATAAGAAGTGGGGGTCACCAAATGAAATTAATAGGCAGCAGGTTTAAAACAAACAAAAGGAAGTTTTTATTCATGCAGTGCAGAGTCAATCTTTGGAACTCCTTGCCTGAGGATGCGGTGAAGGCTAGGGTTTTAACAGGGTTCAAAAAAGAGCTAGATAGAGTCATAGAGGTTAGGTCCATCAATGGCTATTAGCGAGGATGGGTAGGAATGGTGTCCCTGGCCTCTGTTTCTCTGGAAATGGAAGACAGGGAAGGAGTCACGTGAGGATTACCTGTTGTGATCCTTCCCTCTGAGGCATCTGGCATTGGCCACTGTCAACAGACGGGATACTGGGCTAGATGGACCTTTGGTCTGACCCAATATGGCCGTTCTTATGTTCTTCAGAGGAACAACCCAGTGAAAGAAGAAAATGGTGTAAGTCAGATAGCACTTCCCTTACATTCGATGAAAGCCCCTCTTGTGTGTTGTAAGTGCACTAGTCTGTGAAGCAAGCAATAACAGTGACTCAACATCAACAAACTCTGCAAATCTTGATCTTTATGCCAGTTCATTAAGCATGGTTTGACCAGAGTTCTGTTTCAGACCAGTTCAGAGTTGAGTTTGAAGTTGAGTCCATTTATTCAGAAGATTATAACCATAATGAAAGACAAGAACTCACAGATGAAAATGATGAGGTATAACAGGTAACTATGTATCAGACGAAAGAGTGATGCAGATTCATTTGATGAAGATCCTGAAATTTCACTAGCTGATTATTGGAAGTGCACTAAATGCAATTAAGTGAACCCTCCCCCTCCACAATATTGCCCCAGATTCTGGGATCTTTGTGAGGATTGGCTTCCTGATGAAAAGGGACAAATCTGACAAGATAAAGTTGGAAAGTTCCATGCAGCTAAAGCACAGAGTTTTGTGTTCCCAACTATAAGAAAATGAATGAAAAAAGGAAAGAACCAAGAGTTCAAGAAAGTGAGGATACAACAGCCCAAACCTCTGAATCCCAGGGAAGTGAGGAATATTTGTACCCAGCTATATCCAGAAGCATCTTTTGTAGCACCCAAGAAGATTGCAAAGAACCCGACAAAAAAGAGACAGAAAACAAAAAGGAAAGTATGGAATCCATTCTACCCCTTTTCTGCATAGATCCCTGTATCATATGTCAGAGCAGACCTACAAATGGTTGTATAGTTCATGACAAGATAGGGCATCATATATCATGTTTTACTTGTGCAAGGAAACTGAAAAAGTGGAATAAACCCTATCCAGTTTGCAGATAGCCAATTCAGACAATTGTGCTAAATTATTTTAGTTAGTTATAAGGGCCATAGCCTATGCTCCACTCCACCCTTTCAGACACATTGCAATTCCATTCCTGACCAGTGTAGAGCATTACCACTTTGTGGGGATATGTGAGGTAGTAAAGAACTTACTTGATAGCTGACTTATTTTGCATTGTATTGTGCAGTTGGTTATTTGCTTTTTGTTGGTGGGTGGGGTTTTTTTTTGGAGGGGGGGTAGTGGTTGGCCTCTTCTTATGATGTAGAGGTAGAAGAGGTCCAATCTCCATTTGGGGCTCTTCCATGACACTAAGTTCCACCTCATACAGCCACATCTTATACTTACTGTATGCTTTGTCTAACACAACTATTAGGAGAAAAATCTGTCTACACTGGTCAGGAAAATCATGACTGCTCCCTTCATTTCAATGAGTGCTAAAATACAAAAAACAGGCCATTTGGGGAGTCTCCAGGCTTTTTCACAAGGGCATTTTGCCACAAGCGCACACTTTGTTTTCCATTCCTGTTTCTTCCTATAAGAACACACATGACTGTAGACATTGCCACCCAAGACAGCAGCTATCTGAATGAAAGCTAGAACTATGAGTCTGTGTTGTGAGAAGATATAGCCCAAGATCTGGAGACTGCTAACACAAAATGTCACTCTGTTAAAAAAAAAATAAATCTCTCTACCTTCCAAAAAGTCCATAAAACAGTAGCAATATAATGAAAGTGACAGTGTGCTAGTGTGTCATGTGTACCCAAGAGAAAACAGAGTCTGAGCTCTTGCTTGCAGCTAACTCCATGCTGCAGGTCAGTATCCTAGGTCTGAAAAGAAGGGTATGTCTACATTGCCACCCTAGTTCAAACTAGGGTGGCTAATGTAGGCATTTGAACTTGCAAATGAAGCCCGGGATTTAAATATCCCAGGCTTTATTTGCATGTTCCCGGGCGCCGCCATTTTTAAATGCCCCGTAGTTCGAACTCCCTGCTCGCGGTGACACGCGGCACGGACTAGGTAGTTCGAATTAAAGCTCTTAATTTGAACTACTGTTACTCCTCTTCCAATGAGGCAATGTAGACATACCCACACTGAGGAACAGCCGTACTGCCTAAAGTCAGGAAAACAAGATGGATGCTTCAGCACCTATGTCAGACTGTTATGGACATCTGCTCAAAATTCACAGCAGCCAAATTCATTATGCTGTGGGAGCATCCCAGAATGCTGCAATGCATGAAGAGTACAACAATTAGTTCACAAAACATATTTCTCTAGAAGCAGGCAGCACCTTCATAGCTATAAGAGAGACGAGCAATTGCATTCTAAACTCGAATATAGTCAAAACTAGCAGATGCTGTGATAACTATTTAACAGGAAGGAAATATCCTTAATCTGGAACTTGTGACATGTTTAGACACAGGAGAAAAGGTAGTATTGTACATCTGCCTAGAGAAAATTATAATCTCCTTACTATGAAGTGGCTCAGGACCTAAATTCAAATACTTCTTGTGGCAGTGTGCAGTGAATTAGCCCCTGTGAGACTCACACAGGCAATTAATTTGAATGGTGGTTCTGTAAATCAAACCAGTGGGAAATGAAACTAGCGGGTGGGAAAAGAGTAAACATCAGTGAGAGGTTTGGTGTTTCTATTTTTGGGACTCTAGAATTCTGTCCTTGACCTTTCTCTGACGAGTCTGGCAGTCCTTCTGTGCTTCCCATGGCTGGAATATGGCTGGGCTGGAATAGAGCCTGTTACAAAAGTCTCCCTGTTTTTCCTCAGTCCCACTCCGACAGAGAGACAAAAACATGGAGGCAATGAAGGGCAGATTCAAACTGGGATGAAAAAAAATCAATTTAAACTACAAAATATTTGAATGTTAAAATGGAAAAGCATTAGTTCTTCAATCAGTCATTAATTTCTAATTAGAAAATTACATTTTATGGCAGTAGTAAAAAGAATCAATTTATTTTAATTTGAAGTAAACAATTACTTGAATCAAAATTATTTCCTATATACATATGACTTTTTTCAAGTTTATTGAGTAATTAGTATTAAGGTAAAAACTCTTGAATTTGAGTGTTTTCTAAATTCTCTCTCAAAGTTGCAGTCTGGCAACAATCATCCAGATAACATTTGTTCCTAGAGTCCACCAACAGATGACAAGGGGATAGTTTTTAAATCTTTAATATCAAAGTGGAATATAGTAAAACTTAGCATTAAGATCAGACTCTCACCATGGGAGTCAGTGCTTCTACCCTTGTCTTTTCCAGGCATGGCTTTTGGTCTATGCATTAAGGCCACAGGCTTTTCTGTGAATTGGGGATTAAAAATAGAAAAACCAAAAGCTACGTGAGACATGCAAACTGGGGCAGCTTGCAGCCAGGCCACTCAGGACAAGATGGGCCATTGTGTATTGAAGGATACTTTTCTGCAGGACAGTGCTGTGCACCAATGGTGAGGGTGCCCATGGAGTTCATTGTAGCGCTCTGTAGGCTGCATTCTTTTGTCTCCATCCATCCTAGAGTTCCCATTGTGGTAATTTTCTCATTATAGAAAGCTCTTTTTCCGGGACTTAAAACTCAAAGAAAACCCCCAAACCTCTCCTTATGCTGACATGAGGGGAATGATGTACAGAGAGCCCAGAAAGGCTCCAATCATTACAAAGGTCAAAGGATTCAAAAGACAAAAGTGTTTTGTGGCTGGGAGTCTAGTGCTAGTGTTTCCATCTGCAGTGAACTGATTATAAAGCTACAGCAGGACTATTGTAAATGTGTGAAGAGAGCAGAAGCACCTCTAGATGTTCTACACCCAGCCCTTTCTCAGCTGAAGGGATAGGCTCCCTGGTGAAAGGATTTTAAACTCTGTGAAGAAGAGTTTAAAAAGGAGAACAATCCTTTTTAGCCCTCAAGGTGCCAGGACAGGGGTGACAAGATTTGCCTTTTGAAGATTAAAGTTTTTTAAATAAATATAGTCCACAATGGGGGTTCTTTGCCCTTTTGTTGTGTTTTGAGAAAACGCAAGATCTGGAAATTTGGCTTCTAGGACTGTACAAATAAATGACATACAATTCTATTCTACGCTCTGAGATGGGCTGATCCAATGGCCAATAGTGTGAACATTCTACGTATGTGTTTAACAGAATAAGCCATCTTCTAGAAGGTTGTCTTATTGCCAACTGATTATAAACACTTAAAATACCTAACCAAAAATCTGATTCCAGTCTACACATACAATATGGACTTAAGACACTTCTGTAATAAGTTGTCAGCAAGACAGGATGCATGGTACAGAGTTACCTCCTTAGCAGAAAAAAATGAAAGAAATATTTAGAAATTAAAACAGCAAGTGAAATTCACTTTAAACAAACACCACTGATGTCAACAGGAGTTATTTCGGAGTGTATAGGATTCTATTCTAGTCTATAAATGAGAAGAGATTCTCAGTGATGGGAAACAAGATTCAGGACCCCTATGCTTTAAGTGAAGACAGAAATGCACGATCCCCTTACCTTACAGCACAACGAGGAAACAGATGGGAAAAGCTGTTGGAGCTAAACTAAGAACAGGGAGTTGCTTCAGCTAGTATTGTCCAGACAAAATCATAGAACGTAGCACTGGAAGAGACCTTGCAAAGTCTAGTCCAGTCAGGGCATGACTATTTAATAACTAGATCAAAGGTATAAAGGAATTTCTTCTTCCACTGGTGTGTAATTGATCTCACGTAACCATGTTTCCACAAAGAATCTCATGTTGGCTTTGCACGGGCCAGATAAAACTTGTTTTGCAACCAAAATCTGAAGACTTGGTCCCTTGCCATACACCTAAAAATCCCCAGGCAAGACTTTAGATTTACAAAGCAGGATTTTGAACACTGTTCAAAGTATAAACACAAGAGTAAAGGAAAACCACAGATTGTATGGTCAGATATAATGCAACAATATGAATTACTGCATCTCACCTAAAGGAACTGTCTCAGTGAACATGATGCAGTCTGCCATATAAACCAGGGTGGGTGATTTTTGTTGTTATCTTTGTGGAAGGGACTGATATAAGGGAATGTGGCCTTTCCATAGGACATGATTGATGATAAAGGGAAACAGGACATTAAGCTGTGTCTTCCGTGTTCTGTGCCTATACCTTGTGCAGTGAACTAATAGCATAGTGCTGCCAATACATTACAAAAACAAATGCTTGGTAGCTGTTTGCTGGGTGTGATTGTGCTTCACGGGTCTTTGGACTTTGTCATGAAGGGGTAAATGAAAAGCAGGAAAAGGTCTGAGAGGCACTGGGAATGGCTGCTAGTCTGGGCAAACTGATGCAGATTAGAAAATTCAGATAGGTACAGAAAAAATTTCAAATCCTGGTGCTGCTGGTGCAGTGACGCTGATTTTTTATTGTTGCTTTGCTCATGCCATCTTCAAAATAGAAAGAAAAAACAAATGTCTCTGGAATACACCCCATCTGAGCAGGAGATGTGTGTGCAGTTTCTTGCAAAGGCCAGCAGCAACAAACTCCAGCCTCTGGCCAGGAAGCCTGTTGTTCCTTTGGCTGCTGGATTCTATCATTAATAACAGGCTCCACTCTGTCGTTCAGATTCAAAGCACACAAGGTCTCTGTCCTGCAAATGCCCCAGTAGCATGTTTTGGTCATGTATAAAAAGGAATTATTTCAGAGTTTTCTTATCTACAGGTTGAAGAGCTTTGAAGGCAGGGGTTGTTTCTCACCCTGCGTCTTAACTTAGATTAACCAGATGTCTGTCTCCTCTCCAGCCTAATGTCTCAAGTGGTCCATGTAAACAAAACACAGCTGAGTGCAGTCTCTCCTCCTCTTCCTGGGCCTGTTTTTATCGGTAAGCAGGGTTTCCTGAAAGTGTGGTGTTGGCTAAATGTAAAACAGGCAAGGGATGAGCTTCTGTGTTAAAAACCCAGTTGTCTAAAGGCAGGAGGTCATCATTGGAGAAAAGCAGATACAAATACCTGGACAACAAAAGAGAAAACAGGAGGTTAAGGAGGACAAGAACACATGGGTGAGGAGCCTGATACTGGCCCCAGGCTGACTTGCGCCTACACTCTCAATAGCTCGATTCCTCCATATACCAGCTACTCAAATACCTTCCTTTCCCTCAGCACTCATCTGCCCCCAGGGATCTCCATGCCCAAAGAGCCCCATGAACTTTCTGTCCCTCTCAAGTTCCAGCAGCTCTCTATCCATCTACCCAGTCAGAGTCTGCCACCCAGCTACATCCCCAGAAACCTTGAGCACTCACCTACCCAGCCAGAGATAAAATGATTTGTGCATCCTCATTTCTTATCAGCATCAGTGCTCAGGACAGGCTGTGTCTCTATAAGTTTACAATTATCAGTGCAAATGGTATACCCACAAGCAATATATGCCTTTTACAGAATTAGTATGAACTGTCACATAGTGGCACAGAACTTGGCAGCTATGAAAACTCATCATCATCCCATTGCTATATTCACAAACTAATAATAAACTGCATCTACCGAGGAGACTCTATCAACACTGTTTGGCAATTTAGGCCTCATTTTTAGGTATGGCAAAATGAAACAGAGCTCCCACAAACTAAGAGTTTTTGCTTATCTGCTCTATATTTTGAAGAGTTTATTTGTGGAATTGTTTGTGCAAGATAAAGTCATACTTTGTGATTACCTACAGATACCAAATTTTGCATGAACAATCTTGCCACTCAAATTAGCTGAATGCACTACTTCTTACACAGGACTATGCTGGGTGAAAGGCTTAAATAATTATTTGTTTTTCATTGGAAAAATGTCATGACTATTATGATTACAGTTAAAAATATTTGCTAACAAAATTAAAATTGAGTCACCTATTCAACTATCATTTTAGTGCAAAGAAAATTTTTACTGTCACAAATCACAGAATAATTCAAATTAGCTATGGAAAGAGAAATAAAATTTAAAACTGTTCTTTTACTTCCTTTTTGCATGCACATTAATACAACATATTGTTTATTTCTTGAACCTTCCTGTAAGTGTAATCTATGCAAAAGGACTTTGCCCTGTCAACACCAGGCCTCACTTGCTAGTAAATTTATACTTTTAAATTTTAGCAGCAAGAAACATACCTGAGAAAACTAGAATAAATGTTTAATATATTGAAAGCTGATGCTCTTGAGGGGAAAATGTACATACCCTGCCTGTGATAACTTAGGAGCAGATGAGGCAAGGTGCTCAGCCCAGGAGGATAGATCTACACGTGCCACCCAGCAAGGAAAGACGGTGGCCAGTCTCTCCTTTGGCTAGTTCGGTTTTGCTGACCCTCTCTCTAAACTGCCATATTGTCCTTTTTCCCTAGGTCATCTCCAGAGCAAAGAGAGAAAACTAGTCTGTTGTGTTTTCTTCCTCATCATTAATTTTATTTTACTTACTATTAATATAAACTTTTCCTGAGTCTAAGGGCATGTCTATGCTGCAAATGAAGATATGAGTTTAGCACAGGAAGACATTCCTGCACTATCTTTAAGCCACATTCTGGGTGCACAGATTTCAAGAGTGGAATGGACATGTGAACTTATTCAAAGAAGAACAATTATTTAAAAAAACCAAATATTTAGGATTAATAATCATTTTGCCATTATTTTTCATAATCGAAATTTTGTCATTTTTCTTCAGCCTTTCCTGACAAAGGGGTTATCTCCGTTGTCCAGTTTTCTTTTACACGGCAAAGATTTGAAAAATATCAAAACTTCATTAACATTTTTCTTAATCAAAAAATTCCAACCTTGCAAGCTGTGTGAAAAAAACCCTCAATGTGGTTTTCCAAATATTTTTTGTTAATTTTTCATTGAAAACTAAATTTGATGAAAACATTTGCCAAAAATTCAATGTTTAGGAAAATTCTACCAGCTCTAGTTCCTAGTGAAAGTGAGATCAAAGGACTGCACACAGTTAAGATGGTCTCTTCCAAACTGCCTACTGCCTCCAATTGTTGCCAGCATGCGTGAAGCCAACATGTCTGGATGGAAGATTATGGTCCCTTCTTGAGAGGATGAGAGGAGCACGGTGAGAAACCAATATACCGAGACAGAGGAAATTCTTTCTAAGGGCAGCGTGTGGCCTTGATCTCATTGAGAACAACAGGAGATGACAGCCATTTTTAAAGCTGGTACCAATGTGAGGAATTCTATGGAGTAGAACATCATTCTTTAATTTCTGCTGAAGGACAAATTTAAGTCAAGATGAAAAATGGCAAACAATGTCCATTAATTCTACACATTTTTCAGGGGCATCTATGCACAAGATTTCAGTTAATTTTAGTAACACAGGAAGACTGTGCTAGTTGTTTAAGATCAAACCAATCAAATCAATTAATCAATTTAATTTTAAATTCTCTGAATATTCATTCTGTACTTAAGAAGACGACACCTTATTTTTCATAAGTATAAAAAGCTGCCTTTAAGTGTAAAACTCAACTCAGTCAACTACAAAGTGCTAGCAATGCCTCCATAATATATTATTATATTTCTATAGATTCCTATCATGGTATCCATCACAGAAGTTGCATTGGTGTGTTCTAGTTATTGCAGTTTCTAAGTTATTACATGGGAAAAAAAGACGGAGAAAGATCCATTACTTGGGACACTTAAAACTTGCCTGGATGAAATACCAGAAAACAGACTGCATTATCCTCTGGAAGATTGACTAGGTGTATATACTAGGTGAACCACTTTTAGTTAATAAATTTGACTAAACAAAAATAGTTACAGAGCTCTAAAATTTGAAAATGTAGAATCTGGCTTTCAATTAAAACTAACTTCCACTAAACCACCAGCAGATGAAATACAGAAAAAAAAATCCAATAAAGGTGTGGTGGATTTTTATATCATGCCGTATTTTTCCATTCACAGTCTTCGAGCTTGGTCACCGCAATATGCAGACAGAGTAGATTCCGCTCCTTTTCCCTGGCAGCTTGTGTTCTGACTAGAGATACAACAAATCAAATGGAGGCAGGAAGAACAATACACCCACATGTCTGTGTCTGGGGAGTCTTCCTGTGGTTACTCAGGACTGAAACAGTGGAACCAGGGGACTCCAAAATAAAATAAAAAAAAGAGAGTGAAACACTCCATGACGAACTAGAAAATCCATGTTAGTCTAATATATTTTAGGTATTGGATAATCATACAGTACTTGAGCTGAGCCAGGCTATTTTATGGATATATACAAAAAGAGAAGTCTGCTTACTTCAGAGTTTCAGCAAGGAAAAAGCTCTGTTGTACATCGTCATATGCAGGAGATGAAGAATAGACATCCTTGACCCCTGAAAATCCACCACTGACTCGGCAGTACTTATCAATAGCCTAGAGGGAGGAAGGAAGCACAGAAGAGGCATATTTTACTTGCACTTTAATATTTGAAAAGATACGGCAAAGCCAGGCTTGACCAATACTGACCAGAGTACATGGCAACATACTTTGGTAACAGTACTGAGAATTACTGCTGAAATAATGGGGGAAGAGGAAGGACAGGCATATTATTGAGCTTTGTAGCTAGGAGAGCTGAAAGAGTTTTAGAAGCTTGGAGGTAGATTGTCATGGGCTCCTGAAAAAGTTTATTTAGAGGGGGCCCAAAGGATTGTTCACATCACTGTGAGATGTCTGCTGACCCGTACAGCCTCCTCTATCTCCCTTTGTACAGCCATATGACCTGACCTCTTCCTTTCCTACTCAAACTGATTTTCAGTCCCAGCTGCACTGGTCTGAGCTGCCCCAGAAAAGCTTCTGGTCTTTGAAATGGTGCACTCCAAGTCCATGAGCATGCAAATACAAAGAGGAGTGGGGTTGGTGGATCCCAAATCCTTGAACCCTTGCATGTCACCCAAACTTCCCTGGAGGTCAACACCTAGCTATCTCTAATTACTGGAAAAAGATCAAGGGAAGAAAGTAGGAGTGGAAAGAAACACAGCTGCTCAAAGCACCCCTTGTATGAGCCTTGGTATTCTACTCACATTTCCAAACTTATGGCACATGAAAATGTCAGCCATTAAAACCATCCCCCAAGAAATTATTCTGCAATGATTCACAGATTACTTGTGCTTCCCTGCTGATTTGGCATTGCCCCCTCAGCAGACATTAGCTCTTCTAATAGGTTCACGTAGGAAAGGAGAAGGCACAAAGATCAGAGAAAGTGTTTGGCTTCTGATGTTAGTCAGGATCAGACTAGAGAACACAGCTACCTGTAGTTGAGTTATCTATGCTTTGGCCCATTAATCCATGAGAGTTTTTTGTCTGCAGGCTGTTGTAGGCTTTCTGCTAATTCTTATTTCTGTTTGTTATGCTCAACAGACACTGAGAAGACTCGAAGCAGGGGAACAAATGCAGTGTAGAAACAGATGTCTCTTTATATACAAAGAAAATGAATTCAGTCTAAATGTGCTGCTTGCAATCTATGACTGAACCATGAAGGGCTGCAAAATACTGGCAACAAAAGAGATTCTCTGCTGGAAATGTGTGTTTGTGAATGTCTCCAGATGCAGTCAGTGAAACATGCAGAGGAAGAAAAGGGGCTTCTCCTAAAACTGTAGGTTAAAACTGTCCATATATCAAGGGCTACAAAATTCATCAGGATCAGTCAAATACAGGAATAAGTGTGTGGCATATAAAAGTCTAGGATTGCAATAAAGAAACTTTAATTCATTCTGAGTCTTAAAAATGAGGGTAGTTGAGAGGGTGGGGAGGGGGAACAACAGGTCTCAGCACAAATGGCCTATCTTAACATCGTCACCAGGTCACAACACATGCCAGTGTCTATGCTTTCTTCAGAAAGCACCTCTACTCCAGACGACAGCAACTACTGAACAGTTTCGAAGGCTGGACTTGGTCATGTGGGCTGTTCCGGACAGATTTTAATTTCCATCAAGCTATTAAAAATGTTAATAGCAACATAAATACTATAGGTTCAAGGACACTTTGCTTTGAGAGGGTGTTACCTACACTAACTAATTAATTAATTAACACAGGACCCTATGGAGGTAAACATATTATTAAACAGCAAAAAAAGTCACTAATGCAGAGAGACGGTTGCCCAGTTATAGTTTGTGAGCATCTAGAATGTTAAGTTCAGCAAAATTCACATTTCTGAAAACCTCAACATTCATAGTTGGGGTAAATGCCAAGTTTAACTCTGCTCCCCTCAAGTGGGCAATAGTCACTAAGAATTATCTGCACTCATCCAGCTGCATTCGCTGGGTCAGGGGTCGCTGCGCTGGATGGCTGAGAAAACTTGGAAGAGCAGTTACTTCTAGAGCCCTGCTCAGATCCAAAATGTGTATCTTCAGCTGCATCCATATCCACAAAAAAAAGCTGTGGATATAAAGTACATATCTGTGAATTTTCAGGGCTCTAGTTATTTTGATAAGCGATTTGGGAATTAATTAAAGAAGCACCCCAGAGTTGCAATGGTGATATGAAGATATCTGGGTCTAAGTTCCTTCACATGTTGTCAAAGAAAGGAGGTACATTTGTACCTTGAGGTTCTAGTTCGTATCACTTCAATACACAGTTGTGTAGTTTGTATCAGACTGGGCAACAAAATGACAGACGGTATTTAATATTGATAAATATAAAACAATGCGCATTGGAGAACGTAACCCTAAACATACATACAAGATGAGGGTAGGGGATATGAATTAGCTGTTACCACATGAGAGAGATCTTGGCGTCATTATGGATAGTTCCCTGAAAACATCTGCTCAATGTGCAACAAAAGTGAAAAAACAAAACAGGATATTAGGAACATTATGAAAGGGAGAGATAATCAGACAAAAATATCATACTGCCTCTATATAAAGCCACGGTACGCCCACATCTTGAATACTGTGTGCAGATCTGGTCCCCCATCTCAAAAAAGATAGAAAAGAGCAACACAAAAGATTTGGGGTATGGAAGAATTCCATATGGGGAGAGAGGTTAAAAAGATTGAGACAGTTCAGCTTGGAAAAAGAGACAACTAAGCAGTGATATGCCTATAAAATCATGAATAGGAGTACACTTGGCATTTGCAGGCAGTGCCTGTATATTACAGTGAAAAGGAAGAGCATGAATGGGGTCATTGCTCAAAAAGAGCAGAATTTAGATTGCATGGGCATTTAACTGAACTCCTGTTTTTCAGAAGCTGACCTTTGCTGAACTTGCCATTCTGCAAGGGCACAAGCCATCTCCTGGCAACCTTAACGGTGCACTAACAACGATTTTGTCATTTGATTACTTAGTTTTTTAAACTGAAAAGAGCTGTATGTGGTATGAGTTAGTGTTCAGGTGGACAGGTATAGTTCTCACCGATGTTTGCAGTTGATGTAATACTGAAGGTAGGTACTAATCAATGGTCTTTTCACTAGGCCACAGAGTTACTATGTGATTCCACAATGCTCCTCCCCCGTCCTGTACATTTGGCTGTAGTAGAATAGGGATAGCGGTTATGCTTTGAAAGGTCTGCAATGTGCAGCTGCTAAAAGGGTCAGTGAGAGAAATGCTGGTGGTCTGTGGTCCAAAACATTGACAATTTTATCATATAGACAGGGTAGGGGGAGGTTAGAGGCGGTTACTCACCTATGAGGTAACGGACATACTTTGGAATAAGTGTTCCTGTGGATGCTCCACATCAGGTCGGTACGCTGCCACAGCACCAGGTATCCGAATCTTCAGAGCAACGTCCTTGGGGCCACATGTGCGCATATCTCTAGTTGCATTCTCCTGCTGTGCAGGCAACGCACATGCATGAGCCCTTCTCGTCCCCTCTCGCCCCCCCCCCCCAGTTCCTTCTCTACCTCAAAGACAGACTGCTTGAAGAGGCCAGAACTCTTAAGCAGGAGGGAAGGAAGGGTAGATAATGGAGCACCCACTGGGACACTCATCTCGAAGAATGTCAGTCACTGCACAATTGAGTAGCCGCCTCTTCAAGAGATATGTTCCCCTGGGTGCTTCACATCAGGTGACTACAAAGCTATATGATTAAGACGGCAAGGACTTTGGATCTGCATGAAGGCAGTGGAGAGGACTGCCTTGGGAAATTTAAGATTTGACAGAGGTCTCTGAGTAAGTGCATAGCACTTTGTGAATGTCTGGTCCAAGTAGCGACCCTGCAAATATCTGCTATCGGAACCTTACGTAGGTATGCTATTGAGGTAGACATGGCTCCAGTGGAATGAGCTTGTATGCTCGTAGACAAAATATAACGGAGTCTGAGTACGAAATCCAGTGAGACAGTCTTTGGCCTGAAATGGGCTGACCTTTGTTGCAGAAATAAATAGTCTAGGAGAAGCTCTCAAAGGCTTGGTTTGGTGAGATAAAATGGAAGTGCTCTGCGTAGATCAAGCGTGTGCATCTTTGATTCCCAGGAGTTAGCTTGGGGTTTGGGAAAAAACATTGGGAGGTGTATGGTCTGACCGTATCTTGGGTAGGAATTTGGGGTGGGCGCATAACATCACTTTATCCTTGAAAAAGCTACTGTATAGCAGGTCTGCCATAAATGTGCAATTTTGCCTACCCATCTGGCCAACGTGATGGCTACGAGAAATGCTGTTCTCATAGATAAGTGCAATAAAGAACTGGTAGCCATTGGCTCAAATTGAGGACATGTAAATGCATTTAAAACAAGGTGCAGGTCCGAAGGATCTGCTGGTGGAACCACCTCTGGATAAACTCCATTCATCTGAAGAAGTGGGTTGTGCCCACAACAGCTCATGATACCATCTACATTTTTGTTAGTCTCTAACGTGCTGCAGGAATATTTGTTGGTTTTTAATCTTTTTCAGGTACAGACTAACACAGCTACCCCTCTGAAAAGATTGAAGAGTCATCTATCTTGAGGTAGAAGGTTGTTATAGCAGCCAGGTGGATCTTGATGGAATTTATAGCAAGGCCTGATTGTTTAAGGTGCAGAAGCCATAGATAGAGCAATCCAACAGTCTAAGCACCATATGGAGAATCTCTTCTATTTTGGGGTATGTGTCTTGCAGGTGCTCTGAGCCCTGCTGTGCAATAAAACATATTGTACCTGTTGTGAACATTCTAATTCTTGTGCAGAGAACTATCTAGGGGCCAAGACTTGAGGTGTAGCATGTGCAGATTGGGGTGGCTAGCCTGGGTTCCCAATTTGAAGAGGAGATTGGGGATGGGGGATGGGTGTAGGAGAATTGGAGGTGTGTAGGACATCCTGGGCAGGAAGGGAAACCAACGTTTTCGTGGCCCAATGGGGCGATGAGAATTAGTCATGCACTGTCCATCCTTGCCTTGTGTATAAGCTTGTTTAGGTGGGTACTGGAGGAAAGGTGTAGAGGAGCTGCTGTTCCCAATTTGAAGAG